ATTCTTTGTATTTCTATCAAATGTAAGGTTTAGGTTAGATTTAGGTTAGGTAAAATTCATCCTATGTTCATGCTATGTATTTCTATCAAATGTAAGGTTTAGGTTAGGTTTAGGTTAGGTAGAGTTCATCCTATGTTCTTTACACCTATGTTCATTCTTTGTATTTCTATCAAATGTAAGGTTTAGGTTAGATTTAGGTTAGGTAGAGTTCATCCTATGTTCTTTACACCTATGTTCATTCTTTGTATTTCTATCAAATGTAAGGTTTAGGTTAGGTTTAGATTATATAGAGTTCATCCTATGACAGCTACGGACAAACTTTCCTTTCCACCACTGTACAACATTTCACTCGACACTCGAGCATGTTCCTTTCGCTAGAAAAAGAATTAGAAGATTGTTATTCATGGAAGATTTAGCCTACACGCGATTTCTATCGTGTACGAGTGCCTTCTTAATGTCTCCAGGAAAACTCTTCGAGGGATTCATGAATAATAAGTGGAACGTATCTTGAGGATCCGCGAGTTCCAAGAGAAACAAATCACATTGGTCTGATGAGAAATGGACCAACCACTTTCACTGCTTGACACAAAATTCACCGCTCAACACGATTAAATCAGTATTTCATTGATTATTGATGGGAAAAATTACGTAAAGAAATTCTAGTTGAAACTTACTGAATCCTGCGGTTCTTTTATATTATTTATACCGTTTCTCGTAGGAAATCCCTACACAGGAGAAGATTTCCCACGGACGACGACGATGGAACGATGAAAGGAACACGCTTAACACGCAAAGACTGCTTTACCTATTTACTCCGTTTTGTTATTCTCCGCTCGCGTCCCATTGGAACTAGGCGGTGCATAACCGATACTTTAAACTTTGATGCTCCCGACGGGGCAGACGTAGACATAATTACTACCTCGGATTCTCGAGAACGGAGTTTCTAAGTCGGCCAGTTCAGCCTGAAAAGTACCGCGACAACGTGTCCCGACTTTTCATTACGGAAGATGGAGATCATCGTACGAAAGTTCTTTCAAACGATCAAGCATATCACGATCAGGATTGTCACGAATAAATTATTCTCGCCTGAGGGAAAATCAGTTGAATTTCGAAGCAAATAATTCGTCTTTGAATTGGTCACTGTACAGACAAACTTTTCACCTCCTACACACAG